ATATTAGTTAGAGGAGAGCATAAAGCATCTGCACATTGTTTTAGAACATATGCAGGTATGCCATCAGGGCCAAGACTATGTGAGGGCTTAAGAGTTTTAAGACATTTTAAAACATCAAGAGTGTTAAAGTCCTGGAAGTTATCAGCTACAAGATTAGTAACGTTAGAAGTGGTTATAGTAGAAGGAGAGCGTATAAAAGACAGATTAAGAGCATTAACATCACAAGAGGGAAAAACATTACATCGCTTACTATTGCCAGTAATTTCATTGAAAAATTTCCACATGCTGATAGATTTGCATGATAAAAGTGTTTGGTTATAGATAGCATTAAGATTTTTGATTTCAGATTTGATTTGAGCATTAATCTTTTTAAGTCCTAACTTGTCTTTGCATTTATATAACATTTCTTTTTGCCTGCGAAGTTGTTTGAGATGGGGAGACGAGAAGCGGTCGAGGCGTTTGAACAGTGTTTGTTTGGGACAGCATATGTCGAGGCAGAACTTGAGATAATCCATTATATTGGTGATTGAGTCATCTAATGTACTTTCATAGAATAAATCCCAGTTAGTATCTTTTAACATGCATCTTAGATTGAGAAGGCTGTCAGATTTGTAGCTTCTTTGTTGTGCTATCGTAGACAGGTGTGAGAAGAAAAGTCTCCGCAAGGACCGTGAACAGTGGTGGGAGACAAAAGCGAAAGAGATACAGAAAGCTTCGAGGATAGGCAACACCAGGCAACTATTTAGACTCATCAGGGAAACGGGTGGGAGAAGACAAATCATTAGTGAAACAATCTCGGAAAAAAATGGCACTATGATTAGCTCCCAGGATAGATGAGTGGATCGCTGGAAAGAGCATTATGAGGAGCAGTTTAATTTGCCCACAGCCACGTTCAACCTTCCGAACATCCAACACCTCCCTGAATAGGATATAGACACAGGTCCTCCATCCCTAACTGAGGTTACTAAAGCTGTCACCAATCTGAAACTAGGCAAAGCAGCGGGACCTGATGGAATGACTCCAGAGGTATTTAAGTACGGTGGAGACAGTTTACTGTCTGCATTAACTGAGGTACTAGGCAGCGTCTGAAAATCAGAAGAAGTCCCATCGAGTTGGTGTAAGTCACTGATTATCCCGATATACAAGAAGGGAGACAAGTCTTCCTGTGATAATCACAGAGGGATTAGCTTAACTAATACAGTATCTAAAGTCCTAGGCTCAATAATCATGCGTAGACTGGGTGGTGCTCGGGAGTCTCAGACACGAGAGAGCCAGGCAAGCTTTAGTCCGGGAAGAGGGTGTATTGATCATATCTCCACCCCTCGACAGATTCTAGAACACAGTCATTCCTGCCGGCGTCCAACAGTCATTATATTTCTTGACCTAAAAGCGGAATTCGATTCTGTCGATCGAGATGTTCTCTGGAGATGATTGGCTGTAAAGGGAATTCCGAGAAAATATATTGCACTGATTAAGGCACTCTACTCGTACTCATACAGCCAGGTGAGGGCTTACGGCGAGTTGTCATCGGAACCGGTGACGACTAGTGGTGTCCGTCAAGGATGCCCATTATCCCCTTTTCTATTCAACTTCATCGTAGATGTGTTAATGGACTTAACCCTAAGTGACTTCAGCGACTCAGGGATTGACTTGCTACCAGGGAATAATCTCGTTGACTTGGAATATGCAGACGATATAGTCCTTCTAGACGAAGACGCTGACAAAATGCAGAATCTTCTAAACACCTTGAGCCGCAATCTACGAATGTTTGGCATGCGACTCGCTCCCGCCAAATGCAAGATGATGTTACAGGACTGGACTACATCGACGCCCAGTTTAAAAATAGGAAGTGAAGTGGTAGAGCGCGTTGACCGCTTCACTTATTTGGGAAGTACCATCAGCCAGTGCCAACGGGTTGATCTCTGACGAAATCTCAGCACGAATACAGGGGGCTCGTTTCGCATTTGCCAGTTTACGCCGACTCTGGTGTAGACGAGATGTTCGACTATCGACCAAAGGGAGGGTGTACTGCCCATCAGCCCGCTCCGTCCTCCTTTATGGTTGTGAGACCTGGCCACTGAGAGTGGAAGACATGAAAAGACTAGCTGTCTTTGATCATAGGTGCCTGCGCTCTATTTCCCGTGTAAAGTGGCATAATAAGGTGAGCAACATTGAAGTTAGGCGTAGAGTTCTAGGTAAACAGGGGAAATCAATCGACGAAGTCGTGAAGTTACAAAGACTGAGATGGTTAGGACATGTGTTACGTATGCCAAGTCATCGCCTCCCTCGACGAGCAATGTTAGCGGATATAGGGTCAGGCTGGAAAAAAGCTAGTGGCGGTCAAACGAAAACTTGGCACCAGTCAATGAAATCCACAACAGTTAGTTTTTAAGCCAGCCACGTAGGAAGGTGTAGACTTCCAGGCTGGGGTCCTCGGGACGGTAAAAATCTATGGTTGGAAACAATTGGTCACATGGCTCAAAATCGTCCTCAGTGGCGCAGATGCATCCACTCCTTGTGACTTATGATTTCCAATGAAACTGTTTTGTTCTTCGTTAATACTCTTCCTTTGTCTCACACCTCTGCTCACTGTCTCTATTATGCTTTTCTTGTACTTTCTTCTCTTGCTTTGTGTGCTACATGGAGTGTGGCGACTTGAACTTCCGCACATTTGTGCAAAGTTCTACGTCGAAAACAAACAGACAGACAGACTCATGATTATTGAGCCTAGGACTTTAGATACTATATTAGTGAAGCTAATCCCTCCTGGCCTAGCGACATATAAACAGAACTGGTTCGGAAGATGACGGTGAAATATTGCTATAGTGATTCACATCATCTACCTCCAAATAAAAGCAGACTATGAAAAATCTGTAATTGATTGTTGACCACATAATGCACAGCTAGTAACTGTCTTTGTACTGTAAACCACAGTCAACAATTATGCACGTCCTTGTGAGATATAAATTAAAGTACTAATTACCGCTAACTAATATCACTTCACAGACTCTGGCTCTTCTCGTACTCAGTCTAAACAATACTCTACGACGGGGTATTAGCTTACATAGCATTAGACTATGAGAATTTAGTGTGGTCACATCAAAACATCTCCTTAGTCTATTAAGTACTTGACTGTTGGTTGAATCACGTGTGAACTAGCTGGCTCGGATCCTCAGGATTATAAGAATCAATGGCTCACAACTATCCACATACGCGAAATCACTAGCTGGAGATGCAAAAGTATGTGCAGGATATCTATTTTCCGGTCATTGGGTTCCTGAAATTGAGCTCTAATCCTACTAAACACTTACTGACCACTTACAATGACAAATGATTTGCAAACATGACTGGTCTCATGTCCTACAAATGTCTAGTGAACTACTCATTACCTTCCCCCACGAAGCATTCTGGATTACAGTTGTGGAATATATCTTTATACCAATGAAAAAGTATTAATTTATAATACCTCATGATTGTAATTTATAACATAACTGATCATGCCCGTAAAAATGGCTTGCATTTCTTGAAAACACCCGTTTATAAGAAAATATAAAGTATCAATATTATTAGTCTGCATTGAGTACATTCCACTTCTAGTGTTACGTACGATGAAAACGCTGACAAAGTTATACATATACATCACCCATTTGGATATAAACCAAGAGTAAGATTCGATATCACACACACAAATGTTAGAAGAGGGAAATGACTTCAAGGTTTATTTTTTCCCAAGTATTTGTTAATGTGAAGGCAATATTCCTATATTACTTGATGTGTTCCACTTAATGACTGGTTAGCAGATTGTTTCCATAAACCAAAGACAAAAACGACAGCGACCATGTAATTCCACCATAAACCAAATTTATGTAATTTAAATAACACTTATCCATGCCTGTATAACTGGTGTGTCCCGCATAGGTAGGAATAAATATTTATTTTATTACAGTATTATTAAATATGCTTACTAATCGTACTTGTAATTTTTCATATTGATGATGCCCGTGCACAAAAAATGAGAATATATACATATTTTATTATATTATTACTATATATCTTATGAGAACTCTAGAGTGCATCTCAGCGTACTGATGACTGGTGCTCAATCAACGTTTGAGAAAGGACATAAACCAATGGAAGTGGATCAAACGAATATGTCACAGTTAGTTCTATATTATATTATGTGCAGCATAGGTCTTACCAATATATATATATATATATATATATATATATATATATATATATACATATATATATATATATATATATATATATATATATATATATATATATATAAAGCAGTGAACGTATGATCAAAAAACTACAGGTCAAAAATTTTGACAAAGAGGCAAGCAATGGAGATTTGATTATGTAGTAGCCTCACTTTAAGGTGAACATATTTGACAGTGTGGAAATGGATGTGTGAATGAAATGTATGAGGTATTACTTCTGATATTGCTGATGATATGTCGTGTATAATTCGGCCATTTCTACACACCGATTTATTGTGTTTAAGATGATCATAGTATGCACCGGTATATACGATGACAGGACTGAGGGTAAAAGATCCGTTGCTAGAGTCATCACTCATTTTCCTATGCACTGAATGATTGAACAGTACGTGTTATAGGGCTAAAAGTGTTCAACCACACAACTCGTATACTAATTAAATACTAATGTGAAGATTTTCCCGAATCTGTGAAAGCTATTCAAACAGGTGTCACGCAGACGCAGTAGTTTCCCAGTAAAAGAAACTGAATTAAACAGATTGAAGCACAAAGAAGGTTCGGATTAGGATTGTTGACTCTTAAGTTTGAACACGTCAGCAAACATCACGGTTACAACGTACCGTGCTTAGTTTTACATCTGAGACAGCAACTTAATGTTGCACAGATGAGTGAAATTTTACACTAAAACTTATTAGTTCCGTGTAACCTTAATTCTCAAACAAGCAAATATCTTTAGCCAGTAGATCCCAAAACTTGGTTTCTCAGGACACTTACATCTTATGACCCAGATACGTTTAGCGAGTGACGGGTGAGGATATACGTTAGGACGTGTTATATTTTCCGTGAGTACAACGCTAATCCAAACGACCCAAACGGCCTTGGACAATTCTTAGTGACTTAGAAGTACGAAGGTCACGTACTCACCAACCAACTGACGACTCTGGACTTATATACCACGTTCTGTTGAAATTCCGCTTGGAAATTTTTTCGCCGGTAATTTTTAATACAATTGTGTTATATGTTATATGGATTGATGGGAATCCCCATTTCTTGGCTAGTTATGTTGGTGTCCGCGTCATGTAATCTGACTGCGACACACTCATAGCATATTGGTTGCAACGATGAGCGACTTTATTGCATATCCCCTCAATGACGCTTGTTGCTATGTTGCTATTGGTTTCAAGTGACCTTGGTTTTGGAAGAAGATTTAACTGATGTAATATTGCGATTTCATAGACATAACTCAGGCTCATAGATGAAAGAAAGTTATAATCCTGGAATAAGAACAAGTTGTTCATAAGGCAAGGAGGACATTATTTTTCAGTTTATTTGTATATATACTATCGTGCATTGAGTTGTACTGAGTTCTTAGTGCAACTGTATGTAACTTCATTTACATAAAGTAAAACATTACGAATACTCCTGTTTTTAGAATAAAAAACGTGATTATTTCCATTAATTTTAGCACTGAAGAATGGAATTTCTTCCACGTCAGTGTTATTTGATTGAAGTTTTAATCTCTGTAGGCCCTTAAAGGTATAAATTCGGCACGGAGAAGTGCTATGGAAACCGAAAGTACTTTTAGTTTACTAAATCTTACTGACTTCCCGTATAAATTTGATATCTGTCAAGTGTTTACGTAAAGTCTGCCGCAGTATTCAGCAAAGTAAATGTTGTAGTGCATAACTCCTAGACTTGCTGTAGTCATTGGTATTGCCAAGATATCAATTATTCGTTTTATGCAGCCGAAATATCCGATTTTCACTTTATTGAGGAAACACTATGTTGCCTGCAAAAGTAGTGCGTCAATTTATGAGTTTCATTAGGCCTACAGAATGTTTTCTATTCATTGAATATTGTTTGCGAATTACTCCATAAAACACATTTCCGAGTGGGATGCAACACAAGGCTGAATTCTTAAACTGTCATCCTTATAACAGTTCAATTCAATCACACATGTATTAGTAGGATAGTCTATAGCTGACTTTAGAGACTTATCAGGGAATAGTCTCATCAACTTACAGTTTGCTGATGATATCGTCCACCTATAGGTATAATGAAATAATTTAATTTCTTCAGAGTGATATATTGCGTCTCCCGATAACCATCTTTACATATGTAATGCGAAGTAACCCCTGATGCTGTAGGATACGAAAATAATACCGGTGTTTGATTACAGGTGTCTGCGTTCTCCCTTTTTTTTTTTTTTTTTTTTTTTTTTTTTTTTTTTTTTTTTTTTTTTTTTTTTTTTTTTTTTTTTTTTTTTTTTTGCGTTCTTTTTAGGGAAGCTGAATAGGTTGAGATGGCTAGAACGTGCTGGCATATCAAGCCATCGCCTTCCTCCAGGGACAATGCTGGCCAGCACATGTTAAGGTTTAAAATGTGTTTGGGTCAGTCAAATGGAAAACTGGTATTGGTTCATAAAATCGTTGACGGTCAGCTGGAAGAACTACTAGAGATATGACTGCAAATCTTTGTTACTGGCACAGATGCATTCACTCTATGTAATCTCACGTATCTGTTCAACTCATGTTTTTCGTTGTCACTATTTATTCTCCCTCACACTTTCGCTCGTTAAACTTGCATTTAGTTTTATGTCTCTACCTACGTGTTCTACATGGAATGTGGTAAATTAAACAGGTGGACTTCTCTGCAAACTCATACTGAAAGCTAGTCAGAATGACACAGTCTAGGCATAACTAAATGCGAAACATTGATAAATGATCTCCAAAATTTCAACAAATGATAGGTGTAGTTCTTAATCTTGTTCTTTGCCAAATGAAAAATAGATACCTTTCAGTAATCTCTTCTTTCACCCGGGACTCGTCTCCTACTTTGCAAGTTTTTGTGCTTTGTCACTTTTGTGCTAAGCTTTCAGTCAGCATATGCCGTTGTTGTCGACTCAGGACATAGATGACTTTAGTTGAATAAGTTTTCGGTCGTGAAAACACGGGTCCTGAGGAGTTGACTGGTTGCATTATCATTTCTCAAATGGAATGCAGCATACTGTATATTAGGGTAAATATTCCGCCTCGTTTGCTGAAGCTGGTGTTCCTCAGGGTATTGTTATCTCTCCTCTTCTTTTTTCTCCCTCGTCTTACATGACTTTTCTCCTTCTAATGAGAGCAACTTCGTCAAATACGCTGGTGATCTGACCGTCTCACTTCCTGTCATGTTACAATGTGACTGCAGCAAACCTAACTGCTTCCTGTCTGTAGTCTAAGGCATATGGTCTTACGTTAAATCCCTCTAAATTTCAGGCAGTTAACTTTCCCTTCACTCATAAGCGTGAATTACAAGAATTGTGTTGTTTACAAGATGCTCGTATCAAAGAGGGCACTGAAACAGAAACTAAGTCTAACATAAAATACCTTGAAGTAGTTCTATCCTCTGGTCTTTCTTGGTCATTCTATATCTTGTCGATTTCTAAGAAAACCTTCAGTCTAGCTTACCACGTTATGTGGTCAAGACAGTCAGGAATCATTCAACCTCCTTTTACAATTTGTTAACTCTTGCATCGGTCTTTACTGCTCCCCCTTATTCTTTCCTGAATTACTCAAAAACGGCTATGTCGTATTGTGCAGGGTATTAAGGCTGTCATTAGGGCAAGTGGCGTACCATTTAGTCAACTCGTTAATGGATTAGTTGAAAGACATCTAAACTCATGCGATAAATGGTCTAAAACTATACTATCTAACCCTCAACATCTCCTATATTCTCAGCTCTTGCCTTTAACTTCATCTGATCGAACCAGAAGTCAGTGTCAAAGATTATATGATCGGTTTCGGAATTACGTAATACCAAAAATTGCTGTCGATTTCATTGGCAGCAGTTCACAGCCTACTGAGTTTACAGAAGTGCAATGCTCATCTCCCACTTTCTTGAGGAGACGTCAACTAGGATTCTAGGAAAGTAGCGCGTCAGTATGTGAATTTCATGAATCTGTAGACTGCATTCCATTCACTTAATACTGAAACTAAACTATGAGGGAACTGATATTTCCAAGAAGGGTATAATACAAGGCTCATTTCTACAACTGTAGTCCTTATTTTAGTTCACGTTCATCCTAAATGTATTAACCGAATTATCTATCACCCACTTTAGGGACTTACCAGAGAACAGTCTTGTCAACTTAGTGTATGCTGATGGTATTGCCCACTTAGGCTGCGATAAGTGACCATTGAAACTGGAAGATATGAAAAGACTACTGGTTTTTGATCGTAGTGTCTGTACCCTTTCTTCTGTGTTAAGTAGTCTAATATGGTGAGTAATATTGGGGTTAAGTTTAGTGTTAAGTAGAAATGTGATTCCAAACGTTGTTAATGACACAGATGCATTCACTGTGTGTAATCTCACATATCTGAGCAACCCTTATATTTTTTCCATATGACAGTTTGTTTTTCATCACATTTATGCTCATTATAGTGACATTTAATTTCTTTTTTCTTCTACCTTTGTGTGCTACATGGAATGTGCTAACTTAAGCGGGTGCACTTGTGTGCAAGCTTCTATGTTGAAAGTCAGTCTGTCAGAATGTTCTATAGTCCAGATATAGTGAAATGCTAAAACGTGGATAAAAATAGGCAAAATGTCAACAAATGGTAATCGTATTTTCCCATTTAGTTCTTGTCTAACTGAAAAAAAGTGATCTTACAATAATTTCTCCTCTTACCCGAGATAACTCTCACACTCTTTCTCGTTATATCTCATGAGTTAGTTAATTTTATCGCTTAGCCCAAATGCGAAGTCGAAACACATCTGATGAAATATGTTTTGCTTATTACTAACTAAATATAATATTTTCAAGTGTGGAACGTCACAAATTGGACTGCTACACTTCTGTGCTCATTTCCATGTTAAAACTCAGTCAGTCAGCTTTGTCACTGCAGATGCGTAGTGTCACAACTACCTAGTGTTAATTAGCTTAAACAATTATTCATACCGTTTCCTAAGTACTCTATGCACTTCCTAATTCCTTAAATTGTCCAGATAAAGTGCACCGAAGAGGAAAACATAAACCAAAAGTCAGTAACACGGACATAAGAATTAGTGTGAATAGAAGTGAATGAGATGAGTGACCTTTTATCCCTGTAGTACGCTTAACTAAAATACTCATGTGTATGAATGAGGCAAAAAGTTGTGTGACTGACTTGATACGATTATGAGCAATAATTTGTGCTCGAAACGTCATCAGATAATATTGCTGTACAACACTGTGTGATTTATCAAAATAAAGTCGTATCCATAATGTAGTTATACTCTACCATATTGCCCAAGTTTTACACACATATCAAAAATATTCATCTTATCCATAATGTGTCACCCAACTGTTTCATTTTTATCTTCCTCATTTTAGGTTGTCAGTCTTCGTAGACATTCTGCTAGATGTCGTCGTACATAGTGTCTGCAAGCAGTCTTTCAATACATCTACCTCCCGCAAAGTTTTTGTTACGACGCCTTTAGATTATTTACATTTGGCCGTAATACAATTAGTATGCTAATATTACTGATGCAATGACATGCAAGACCTGTACATGTTACTGTGAAGTTTGCCTGTAATAACATTCCCTCCATAGTAAATACAATGCTTGTGATAACAATTCGTCATTATCTTTTCATTGCGTTGATAGGTGCGTATATATTAGAAAAAAGCTAACCTTGTCGTATTAGTTCTCTAAATTACAATCACTAAGTGCCCATTACCTCTGCTGAATACCAAGTGCTACTCGTGGCCCATGAACTACTTATTACTGCATTCGTAAATAACTGTCAAACTATTATTACATAGAGTAGTGAAACAGAAGGCGTATGAAATTTAGATATTAATGTGTATCTGAAGTTAACGACACAATATATATGTACATGTTTCATTTCCAAGCAAGAGAATTTTATAGGGTGATGTAGGGCTGAGCGCAGTGAGTTAAGAGTGTATTCTTTACTGTATACATATTGTATGAGTGAAATGCTTCTATTCAATTTTCGGCAAAGCTTCAATATCGTCCTGCAGGGTTTCTTCAATGCACTCTCAGGGAACAATACTTGGTACTGAGGAATCCAGCCAAAAGCATCTGTGACACAGTCGAATGACTTTTTCAACTAAAAGCCGCAATACTGATATTAAGTGTGATTTACCTGTAAACTGAGGGACTCTAGTGTAACACAGCACCATATCCCAGCAGGGTATTCTTTGTGTTTTACAGGTACAAGTAGAATTCATGGACTGAGCATTTGTCAAATATGGAGGCGACCCACTGAGTCACTTAGACGAAGGGCTGAGGAAATGCGATACCTTATACACGCACCTTCAGATGTAGGCATGTGTCACTTCACATGAACTCTGAGCCATATCGAGTAGGCATTCCTTTAAATCTACCCTACCTTGTACGCTGAATTATTGTTCGTATATACGTGATGACTTGGTGCGTTTCCTGGTTTGCCTATAATTACGGAATGTACATTATATTAGGGAACACAAATGGATTTTGTGAAAACCAGTGGTGTTCCTTTTCTAGTCTTAACTGATGTCACATTGATTGACACGATTAAAGGAATAGATTGTAACATGGTGTTTTCTGTAGCTGCGAAACATAGATACCTAGTTTCGAATTGACATCATGCGTCTAATCCTGTTAACCTACGGGCATAGTTTATCCTTCACGATACCTAGAAGTCAAGAGCAGACTGTCTTGGACAGACCTAGTTTTACTTTGTGACTAATTGGTGAGTCACCTGGTGTTGTGGTAGTAGAAAAAACAACTCCAAACCTTAGTATTTTCTAGATATGAACATATTTACTTACTTTGGCGACAATTTCATATTAGGGATATTAACCTTTACTTAGTAATTTGGATCCGAAAGTAAACGCCATATTACTAAGTTATTCAAAAGACAGAATGATGAGTGAAATAGTACTCGGATACTTATTCTAACGAAACCGAATAATGATAATCGTTTAGCCTACCAATATGCCGCTTACTTTCAGTCTTAATTTAAAGACAAATTTAGTTGCTCACTAAATTAATAGTTTCAGAAGACTGCTCTACTCCTGTCTTCGAAATACTTTGCCCGATCGTGTTTTACTTCAAAATATTTGTATACTGGCCAGTTGATGTTGCTTATCCAGTTACACTGTTTTTCAGTTAATGTCCCACCTATTTCCTATCAAACGAAATATCCCTCAAACCATCAACGAGTAGCCATCGTTTTTAAATAAATAACCTTAACTATTCGCATGTAAACAATGCTAATGACTTTATCACTTACGTGATGTTTCAACTTTCGATTAATCAGTTTTCCCATTCATGAGCACCTGTTTCAATTTTAACGGATAGTTCTAGCCTTTGACTACTGAATTAATACGTTTCGTTATATACCATCCTTACGAATTATAGGTACTAATAATAATCACTGCTAACAGATTTATCACGAGAACGAGAATGCACTCCATACTGACGACAATATACCTCAGAGGCGGTAGCATCTTCTAAACGCACTACTCAATACAACACATGACCCTAACTCTGTAGCTCACAACATTCTATAAAGTTAGTGGTGACTATTAACAAGTAGAATGTCTATTTGAGGTATAGGGAATATATTTATTAGTGATTCGACACAAAATACAAAATCAACGGTACTGGAAACCACTTTCTTCAGCAACGAATCCAACGAGGTCACTGGAACTACAGATTACCTAAAAAATAAAGGGTGCACAGCATGTATACATGAATATAACTGCCAATATAATATTAACGAGATACCAAAGTAAGAATTAATGAAAGTTTATATCAATATGCGATTACATCAATTACTATTTTTGACACAAGTGGATATTTAGACGAAGTAATAAGACGTAATTTGTCTGAGTCGTGCATTGTTGTATTTGTGCAACACAATTTGGACAATCTGGTCACGCATGGACTTGTCATAGGAATACATATGAAATTAATACAGTTAAGAGGTCAGAAAATAAATTCACGTCGAATTAAGATCACATATCGAAGGTCAAAATAACAATGAACATCACTAAACCAAATAACAGGTATTAGTACATCTACCCTGACTGGTATCCAAACCAAGTTTAACAAAGAAGGTTTCGTGTGATGACAAATAGTTTTGGAACTCACAAAAGTGGTTTAAACTTCCGAATCACACTTCGGATTCCACAAACTTTAGGACCCAATCCAAACACGTTTTACAGATAGGTTTAAAAAAATGTGCAAACGTCAATTTTATGTTCTGTCCATATAATATGTTTCGAAATAGAGGAGCTGGGACCCCAATAATGGCTTCTGAAGATTCTGTTGCTTCTGGAGGCATTTAGAAATATGATGCGTAGCCCTTACTTGCAGAAATCGATGAGTCCCCCCTAAATGGATACAGCAACCGCTTCTAAACCTTACGTCCATAGCTTTAAGAGATGTCGGACACTACTTCTACGTGGTTTCAAATTAATTTTGTGAATTAACTTTGAACAAACGCATATAATTTGGCGTCAGGGCAATAACAAAAATCGGAAGTTTATGAAACCAAACTCAATAATAGAACAAAATGACGCACACCACAGATGTCTTTACGTACCTGATCACGAGGATGGTATTGAAATCCACCAAATTACTAAAATGTTGCAGTGTGCATTTAAATCATTTAAAAATTTTGGCAGAAAACAGTGAATGTTGTAGGTTATCGCAAAACATATCGCAGTTTCTGCCCATTCGTGAACACTAATTTTCCCTTGTATCTATGCATCCCATTGACTTTCAGCCATCAAAACACCACACGAAAGTGCGGAAGGATGCACGAATTCGATATCAATCATATTTCGGTTCCTGCAACAGTAATAGGTACTGCACAACAGCTGATAGGGAAATTCGAGATCGAGTACAGGTTTCCGCCAAGCTGCAAGGAAATCTATCGAATGACAGTCGTCGAAATGTACGCAAAGCTTACTCGGTATGCCAAATAATCATTGCATGAACCATGTATTTAAGCGTCCTGTCACACAAGCAATCAGTAAATGCTCAAGAACGATATCGAACAACAATTTTCATATAAATTCATCCAACAAGAGCAAAATAAGCACCGAAATCGCGTCTACTGCGTTTGCTGGACGGCTAGCTACAACTCGAATCAACGAAACCGCGCAAATGCCGTCAAGGTTAAGCCAGAGGCGCCACTTCAAATAGGGGATATGCTTTATCAACGCCCTGCAACGATTAGTGTTTCAGGTGGACTGTATCAAAATATCGGTGTAATGAGGAAGATAGGATAGTTGGAAGGTAATGCCATTTACACAAATCGTTTACTCTATGTAGAAGCCGCACCTTTCGGCACAGTATCATTCAATGGAGACTTCATGTCTCAGGATATCAATACAGCCTATTTTCGTGTGAAGAACTGTACTTTTTGACAAAATAATTCTACCAGTACTTTGAAATTACCCACAAATGCTAACAGAACCCTCTGTGGGAAGGGAAGTTACCATGTAGATGTGCTTGTCACTTTGTCCGTGGTTGGACAGAATTTATCGTAAGTTAAAAGGTTATTTATAAGTGCATTTAATATATATGTACACTGATTGGTGCAGTGCAACATGGTTTATGTGGATTCAATGCATGAAAATATCTCTACTTTATTAATATTGTGCCATTGTATGCTTGTAGGGGACTGTTATGAGAACTCATTAACATTACAAATATGAGAATAATCCAAGTCAGTGTGATGTGGAGTAACAATATATTATCAAAAGAATGCAGTAACGAGTTATATCAATGAAAATATTACTTGAGTATAATGTTTAAGTCCTCTGCTACAAATTATTTATATAATCCAAGGAAGTGTTCACTGTTGGAATTGCGTATGCTATAGATACTATGTGCCGGTTGTGGAATTGTCTTCGGATGAGGATACAACACGGTGTGAGTGGAGCGAGTAAGCAGTAGCGTTCATACAGAAGGCGAAGTTCCCAACATGCTTAGCTGACTGATAGGCTGACAAATGTAGGTGGTTTTCATGATTGTTGCAGGTGTAGTGGAGTGGAGATGGCAATTACTCGTTTAAATTTCTTCACCGTTTCACTCAGTGCACTAGTTCAGTACATGGTATTATTATACACACGGATTGTGATCATGAAAGCTGAATCCAGTTAGCTCTATTATTATTAATCTACCATCTGTTATACCATTCCCACTGACACTGTATACTTAATGCTCCACTACTTTTCATCATCAATAGTGGAGATGAATTTCTCCTGAAATTTCTATTTATATAAAACAGTACAGATGTGGTATCATGATCGGATGTCTAGGCTGCATAATAATATGACATTGTCACCCTCATCAACACAATAGGTCTGCATATCCTACAACATTTTAAGTTCTTATCCATGCTGCAGCAACATGTTAACATTGTGCACAGCTCTTTAGAGTTCAGGCTTGTTCAGCTCATATTTGATTGCTATAGTTTCCGAAATATGAGAATGTAATTTCTGTAGGATTCATAAAACTATGCTCACTACACATCACTGAGATTGTGGATCAATTCTTAAGCTACACATTCGCAATACCTCATTTACTGTAGTCGTATTTAGTATGAAGTTGATCTGCAAGTAAACTAGATGCCGCAAACATGAACGTGAAAGACATTAGTTTTCTAGATTTCTACATGTTAAATAACCGAATGAGCCAGCAACAAAACCTGCAACCAACAAGTGAACTGAAAACAACAGCTTCTGCCAGCCAAACCTGTTCATGTGCATAATTACCCAAACGGCTATACAGTATTAATTCATAAATTACTGAAAAACAACTAAAACACTGAAAGCCACATGAAAGAAGCGTATGGAACTATTACAATGGAATGAATGAACTGATCTGGTGGTAGAAATTTTCGAAACCAACGAAATAACTAATTTTAACAGCAACGGAAACAAAAATGAGATGAAAAGCAACATTTGTGAACAATGCGCACGAAGAAAAGTTTTGAGTAACTGGAGGATAAATGGAAAAACCAATGCGTTGACGAACGGCTACGGAACTGCAATCCAACGTGGCCGACTAACATAGACGTAAATGATCTTTGGGCGTCTCACTCCCCCAGTGACCTTGGACGTGACAGATAATTTCAACCCTGTTGAGACACGCTGCTGCAGACGAGGATGAACATGAAGCCTGTAAGACAGAAAAATATAGCGCATACTGTCACAAATAAAGATAGACATTTAGTTGTGGTGATTCAAAGTACATTTTTAGTATCTGTTCAGTTAGAATCTATCCATCCGCATCTTTTGACAAATGGTCCGCTTTAATAATAATAATAATGTATATTCTCATATAAACATATAAATTTACATGAAAATGCATGCCATTTTTACAGGCACGATCAAGTATGATATAATATCAAATCGTAGATTGTCTACAAGTTAATAATGTTTCAACAGTTAAATATTTGATATATATATAAAATACACATTGTCTGAACTAGGCTGTATAGTTATTGAATTGTACAATTGTCCTCCAGGTTGAGCGGGAAAATCGACTTCGTTTCGTTTTCATCCCGTGGTTGTCGGCATACGATAACCAACCAATATTGAGGTAAGTACAACGTTTACAAGGGATTGAAAGCTGTTTTAGAAAAGTAAAAGTGCTGAGGTGAATCATTAAATTGTAATGAAATAGGTAAGTGCAAGTATCATTAATAAATGCATTAAATAAAACTCCCTAGGCTGACAACGTTCATTTGCAATGTATAATGCTACACGTATACCTCGTACTATCATGATGTCCACTTTTGGTTTTAATACATTTATCCTCAGTTGTGTCAGTTGTTTTTGTTTTATACCTTTTTGTGCATTTAATGTACAACCGTACCCTTCAGAGAGTAGGAATATAATAAGTCATAAAGAGCTATAAAATGTTAGGTTTAATGAAATATAATGAGGATCAAGTAAAGACATTATTGGAAAATGAATGAGATAAGACATTGTGAAGTGGTATTTAAAGATCAGTCAATGGACAGCAAGTTAGTTTATAAGATGCCCCATAAAACTGTGCACATCCCACATGGTCGCATCTCAACAATAGGCCGGGCGAATAGTATATATTTAGAGGTAGAAGCATGATCTGTCAAGGCGTTCATTATTATCTTTTTCAAGATAAAGATCTAAGCCCTCATAAAAATCAGAAATATCTCGAGCCTTTAATTTGTGTATTGCTGTTCCTGCAGAATGGGGCGATTCACCTTAGTGACCCCCACCATATCTACTGATCAGCTAACGCCACCCTCCCTCCTTTTTTGATGTTAAGCTCTGAGACTATGATTATTATGGCTACCGCAAATATATTGCTTGGTACCAGACATGTTCGTACCTCATATTCCATCTCCCTAGCTTTCTTAATGAGTGCTTCCAATAGGTCTCCGCGTACATCTTTATGAACATTATATATGTATGCATGCGTCCTAATGAACAGATTACTTTACAAGAAGTTAGAACCTTAAAGAATAAAAAGAATAGGTTTTGTGAATAGTGAAGCAAGATTCAGCAGAACAATATAGTTAGGGATCAATGTAGGTAGTATGAACTGAAGGTAAGGTCGGTTGGCAGGACTTAGTGTACTAAATTATCATGACAGTCTTGTATATAGTAGACATCTGACATTGCAAAGTAACGTGTCTAAACATATTATAAAAAGATATTAACAGAACCAACAAAATTTCAGCATTTGGTTAACAATACTACAGAAGGGTAGTTAGTACTACAGGTAGTCGTAAAGTAAATCAATCTATGTATAATAAGAGCATAGTCAGTGTCATAATTCGTATTATCAAAGAATACATTAGGCTCAATAACTGAGTGTTATAAGGGAAACAAGCATGTTAAAGCAAGAGAACACTTGCCGCATAGCTATTTTAATCATTTTAAGTATTTTAATGACAATCGAATTTCAAGTATTGAACCTACATAATTACTAAGTGTTATTATATTGGTATTGGGACTAGTGTACTTTCCGTAGTTAAATATTGAAAAGCCATTGTCTCTCCACTCTACCAGCAGTTGAGATCTTTGAGGCGGGCTAGTAACGTGGCCGTATCTTAAACATCAAAGAGAGGAATACCTTTGCATCACGATTATAAAATAAAAAATTCGTTTCTCGCGTATTGCATCGATACAAATCACAAGGAGGTTCCTAGTTTCTCAAATCATACGCGTGATATTATGTCAAGGGTTCGTTAGCGATAAGGTGCTGAATTAATACACCTATGTAAGTATAACCGTGTTTCTTAAGTATTTCTGTGGTGGGTTGGTTTAAATCAACCGATTTCTAGATGCCCGTTTTGACTCCGCTACTAGTCCCTTAGTTTTGGGACAGCTCCGAAACTTTTGGAAAATCCAGTGAAAGAAACTTATCTCTTCGACTGTCGTAACTTTATTGAACTAAGTAGAAAGAGGGTTGACAATTCGTTCCGAGAGACATTACATTTTTAATGGATGGTACGGATTCTACAAGGTGAAACTTTTTTCCAAACTATTCCATTACTTTTTTATTCCTTTGAATTCTGAGTGGACCACAGGGCTTGAATCTAGAGCTTCGAAGTCTCAGCTGCAGTGGTGTTTTTCAGGGGGTGTAGTTGCTGGCCTCATGTCCAATCTTTGCTCTTCGTTGGGATTATAACCGGCTAAGGAAGGTAAAATGTGTGCCGGTTGGGACTTGAACCCGGGACCACGTGCATGGTTGGCCAGCAATCTACCGCTGAATCACCGACGCACAAACTATTCTATAGACAAATGGAAAACAATTCTAAGAATTTGAGGTCAGCATGTTGTAAGTGGAACCGAAATAATAGTTTAAAAAGTTTATATGATGGGTATTATATGGAGTAAGGGAACGGAATATCAACAAGACTGCTTACACTACCTCTGTTGGCATATCTTCCATTTTCTCAAACTCCTTAAGCCTACCGGTGAATTTTT